ACAACCTCTGTGGAAATATTGTATAGAAAAAAAGAAAATTGGGAATGTGTTGATGGAGAACATGATCCTACAGATGTGGAAACGAGCAGTCTGGTGTTTTCCTTCACCCAGTAATTTGTCATGCCTCTGTCCTAAATGTCACTATTCTAGGCATCACAGTTTGTGCTGAATATGCTCTGCCTTCACTGGGTTTCTCTTCTGAAAGATAGTGACTAAGAAACAGGTATGTTGTAGGGGGTCGTAAAGCTGCCTTAGTATCGTCATGTCTTTCTTCTGGTGTAATTTTTATGAGATTTCATATTACCAGAATACAATTGATTATATATTTTTTTATCTATTCTGGGAAACATCTTGAATAACAAATAGAAGTAAACAGAACCCTTGGACTTAAGGACTACTAACCCACCAGAACTGCCTTGTAAGCAGCTTGGATAGGCAGAGAGATTTCTGGAACACCACAGTGGGAAGTTGTACCAACTCTTCACTTTTCCCAGTGACTGAAGAGAATCTCCAGATTTCAAGTCTGCCCTCTGCTGTTTGCAGTAAATGAAATCTACCATCATCATCCTTAGTCGTTATGGTATTTGTTAGCTTAGTCTTACAGATGCGTAGAATCTTAGTTTCATGCTCGAAAGAGGTGTGACAATTTTGATTTTAGACTTTTGGGCAAAAAAGTGCCAAATCTTTGCATATTTGTAGTGACTTTTTGAAAGAAACAGATTTCTGAGACAACCACAGTAGGTAGAGAGCTGCTTTTTCAGCTGTAGGAGTTCTGAATCCATAAGGTCAGATGACACATTTGACACATCTCCACCTTCTTGGAGGGTGTCTGACAGCTGTTGTGCGGTGATGCATCACCCTCTCTGAGGGGAAGAGCTGAGCGAGAGAGCTCTACCTACTCACTTCCAGAAGGCAAGATACCACACTTTCTTCATACTTAAGAATTGCTTCCAAGTTGGTTGTAATCTTTTAAATTTTCCTGGGCTGTGAACCTGTATAAGAAGTAGCTCATGTCTCTAAGGGAAAATTTAGAAACCCACTTGCTGCTGAAATAAAACATGTTTGGGGTACTCCGAGTACTACTCCAATTCCTCCATCTTATATGACTTTTTTTCTGTAATTAAAATGTTAATTAGGAATCAGTTTTTAAAAATAATTTGAATTCCAAATAACACCTATTGTATCATAAAAAGTTTAAAAGATTATAATCTTATTTAACTATTTATGTCTCAGTCATTGCAGTATTAGGAAGACACTGGTATTGTAAAATGAATATGATTAGTGCTGAGAAGCCTACAGAAATATCTGCCAATAAAAGCAGAGACAAATAATCAAAAGGGCACCATATTCTAGACATATAAATTCAAAGTTTAAAAAATGCTGGTGCTGTTCCTATTTTGTTCTTATTTTAGGTGCTATCATTCATCTGGGATCCCATATATTAGAAGGAAGCATTTGGATAGCAGTCACAAAGCAATTTTCACACAGACATGAGCATCACTTCCCAATTTTAAAGTTTTAAGGTTTCACTTAAGCACCTACTTTGTATTTAAAAGTAGTCAGATCTGATTATTAATCCTTTTTGGAAGTTGTAATAACATAATAGTGTGTGTTATTAGCGTGTCAGTCTTTATTGTGGAGGGATGAAAACTTGATCTACAGCCTTCTGTCTTGAAACTTCAAGGTGTATATATCAATGTACTAATATAGTATCTAGTGGTGTAATGTTTATAGAAAAGGAGGGCTGGGTTAGAATGACTTACAAAGAAATAAATTAGCAGAGTCAAATTTCACATAGCTGCAGTAAATGTCACCATAATGGAGTTAGTGTGAGGTAGGCAGGGTTGTATTTCTATCTAATAGCAGACTTTTTATTCCTTTAATGTGTGGTTTGTTGTCCACAGTATTTTGGTGTTTGGTGAGGCTAGAGCTCAGGTACTTTGAAGTTTTTCTCTGGCCTCTCTGTTCCTTTATTGTAATCACACAAGTTGTTTTGGAACCAGGATTTACTTTCTTCTGAATCATTTTCTCATGCAATTCAGGTGTGCATTTGCACACGGGAAGGTACAGCACGGGGCCCAGTAGGACTGCTTCCTTGGGTGGTGGTGTCATTTCATACCAGTTTACCTAACAGATTAGTCAACTTTATTTTATGATTCCCCTGAGTAATTTTTCTTTATGTTCTCTTTATTTTTACTTTTCTTTCCTTGTAGCACTAATACCAATATCTTAATAATGAATTATATTTAAGATGTGCTTTAGAAGCCATATGTAAAATTCATACTTCTTCCACAGCATAATTTTATTGCCTGCTGGCATATTGATGAAATGCAACAAACTGGTTTGAGGATAATAGCACTTTTGATGTTTTTCCTATAAATCCTTCAGATATTTTTTTAAAAATTCTTACTATTTAGAAGGGTGTTTGATGCACTGGCAATCCGGGTCTGCTGATAGTGACCACCTGTCACTCTTGATTCCATGGAGCAGCAAGTCAGGCTGTGTTCTTGAAGCTAGAGCTTTTTTTTGAGCTTGTGACAGTGATTCACTTTTCTATATAGTCTGAGGCTTTAGAGGGGGTGAAAGGATAAGGGGTGAACAGGTGTAGGTTAAACTTCTTGTGTTACTGCAGAAGTTTGTATGTTGGTTGTAAAATGCCCTGTAGGGTGACAAATGTGAGCTAATCAGTTGTGGTCAATTTTGATCTTTTGGTTTCTGAAATATTTCTCAGTGTTACTCCTGATCAAGGATGAGGGACTAAATTGGGGTGAATAACTTTTTTCTTTTCACTTGCCTGCTGTTTGACATTTTTTTGAAGGTATATTCTGAACAACATTTGATCTGTAGTTTTCCATTCCAAGTATTTAATCCCTTCTGAATGAGATGGAAAAACAATTGTTGAAGGCTTTGTCATGAGATGTTTAAATGAATACTCTTGGATTACAAATTTTTTTTTTTCTGGAAAGTTTAGATTCCATTACTAATGTTTGCTCTAAAATGATTGCTTTCAACTTGGTGGCAATCTTTATGATAATTTTTGAAATAGGAGGAGGACTGGGATTTCAGTTTTTTCCAAACAAAATCATCTTTCCCTGACATGTCTTTGCATATGGAGACATTAACAAAGTATGTTCATGCATTCAGTGCCTGAAAAGCAATGGAAGCTAAGCTCAACAGGCTTTTAGAAGGGAATGGAGGGCAAGGAGTGAGGTGTGCACATGTTTACATATATAATGACTGCTGAGCTGGAAAGACAGCAGGGTGGGATTTTTTTGGGCGGTGGTGTTTGTTTGTTTTCCCCCTGAGGATTTGTTAATATTTTTAGTTTTATTTATTCATCGTTCATGATAGCATTGTCCAGCTTCTTTTGGAATATTGTACTCATGGGTAGAACAACTTTAAACTACAGTTTGCATAGCAAGCAAAAACATCAGGGAATGTAGCACATGACAGAGTACTACTTCACTCAGTTTGCAACTTATGCTTGAAAAGATTGAAGCGTGAATTTTTTGGGACTGAATAGCAGTTCATGTTAAATTATGCAGTGTATCAGTGATGCATCTAGTTAACTTTTTCTGGTTTAGGTGGGTTTATGTCTGATTTTTATACTGCTGTCTTCACTTTGTGTACTGTAACCCTTTTAAATACAATTGCACACATTTAATAGGCTAGATGAGTGCTGCTGTCAGGCCATCTTTATTTTTGAGAAAGTGGATGTCAGAGAAAAGCGAATATGCTAAAGCTAAGTATGCAGAAATGCTCTGTGCCCCAGACTGTGAATACATTTTCCTGAGAAGTATTTGTATCTTTGTCTCCTTTTCCTTTTTTTTTTTTTCCTCTCTTCCCCCTTCCAACCTAGACTTTTGCTTCTTTCTGCCTATTTCAGGAGCTTTAGACCTTTGCCCTGCATGAGTGGTAACAGTCTGAATTCACATCTCTTGTACAAGTTGCTTTTCTTTGCTCTGTTGCCATCCTTCATTTCACCTTTGTCAGCAGCTCCAGGGTGGGTGGAGAGGAGCCTTGCTGTTGATTCTGCAGGAGAGACTTGGTAGGGGGATGGGTAGGCATTCAGGCCAGGGAAGAGAAAGTGGGGTGTAATCCTTTATTGCAGTGGCTAAGGGAAACTGTGGTGGTCTTTCCCTCCTTCTGGGTGTGACTGACAAAGCTCCTGTTAGCCATGGTGTACTCAACAACTGTGTGGATTTTTTGGTGGGTGGTGTTTGTTTTTGTTTTTTGTGTGTTTTTTTTTTTTTTCCCCCAGCAGTCTTTTAGTTCAGTTCTTGCTTTCTGATCAGAAAGTAATGATGTAATTAGACGGTAAACTGTCAGGGTCCTAAGGACCCTAAGGCTGGGAAGGCAAACTTCTTTTTTCCCCAGATGACTTTTTTTGCATCCAGTTCACCATGTAGCCTCAAAGATTGATGTCAAAGAAAGGGAGTAGGTGCCTTTGGAGGCTGGGGTGGGGAAGAGAGTCACGGCTTTTTAGACTGACTTGCATGCCTGAGTATAAGCTCAGATGCATAGGGCAGGTCAGTTAACGCTTGCCACATTGCTCCTGTGCTTGCAAGCATTAGTTTGGTATGCATTTAGATTGGTACAGTTGCTGTGGAAAAGAATTTTTGTTTATTAATTTGTTCTGATTTGTTTTCTTTCAGGTCTCCCTTGCAATTATGGAGTTTTAGAAGAATAAGGTAGTGTGGAGGGGGAATCCCCCTCTCCACACTTAAGCAGTTCACTTTTGGAATTTTCTATGGACAAGAATATTTGTTATATAAGATGGTGAAATAAGACTTGTAAAAATATATATTTATAAATATTTATTTGGATCAAGTGCCAAACATAGCAGTACAAAGATTTCTAATGGCAGCTCAATAAAACTGGATTTCTATCCTTGGAATTACAATTCTTTTAAGGCACTTAGAAAAGTGTACTGAATTGGAGTGCCTTGATATACTTAAGGGTTGTTCCCCTTGAGGAGAGGAGCAGCTTTAGAAGTGAAGATGAGTTCTCTCATGCCAGACTGCACTTCAAAGTGTCGATCTCTACAGCATGCTTTGGATGTTATTTCTGTAGTAACCAGAGGAAGTGAAGGCCAGATTAAGGCCTTTCTCTCTTCTTACTGCTACAATGCTGCAACTATAAAGGATGCCTTTGGTAGAAACGTTATACATCTTGCTTCATCTTGTGGCAAAAAAGGCGTGCTAGACTGGTTGGCTGCAACCAAAGGAGTAGATCTCTTGGCGAAAGACAAAGAATCTGGATGGACAGCTTTGCACAGGAGTATATTTTATGGATACATCGATTGTGTTTTGTCATTACTGAAGGTGAGTGATTTGCAACTGTAGTTTTCCTTGGTATCTTACTATTTTTAGAGTTTTATTGGTTATGCAAAAGTGGGTTTTTAAACTTCACTGAAAGCCTCTTGAGGGTTGTCTTAATACTGTGTTTAGATCACAGTGCGTTGATTTACTTGAAGGTTGTCTCTGTGTTTGTAAAAGATGTCTGCCTTTGCCCATACAGAAATCAGCACTGAGTAATCATATATAATCAATTATACATAATAATCATATATAGGTATCCCTGATTAATTGTGGACTTCCCTGAAGATTGGTTTGTGTGCATCATAGCAGGGTCAGGATCTTAAAAGTGGAGAGTGATCAGACTAAAGATACTCTCTCTATATACCAACTAGTGTTTTTAGAGAACATAATAAAAGCTTAAATGGAGTTACAATAGGAAATTAAGCTTACATTTGAGAGACAAGCACTTCAAGATACAGAGCTTTTTATTAAGCGAATCCCCATTTCGTTCATATTTTAACCAGGGCTTTGGCTCGGTCCCCCTCATTCTGTTCTTGTAATTGCTGTTTCTTCCTTACCACTTAGCAAGTTGTGTGTATTTTGGATTGCTCTTCTTTCTGTTCCTCTTGTCCCAAGTACAGCAAAGGGAAGAGCTACCTATAGTTGAGATGTTCAGGATCCATTTAACCACATGAGAAAATGAAATATTTGTGGGTCAGGGTTACTTAAAAGCAAGCCTTTTAAGGCACAGAATTTTCCATTTTGCGTTCAGCCTTTTTAAATTGCAGTGACTAGCCATTTATAAGCATTAAAGTCTCTGCTTTCAACAAGATTTTAAGTAAAATGGTTGTGGATCCATTTTTAAATTCTTGAAGGTCTGATAACTGTTAAGGATATATTTCATGTGCTGTACCCTTAAATAGTGAGGAGGTTTTCATTAAACTTGGCAGAAGTAGATGTTTATATGAGAATGGTACATGCTTCTCTTGAAAACTGGAAACTGTGTATGTGATGTATGAAAAAAACTATTCAGTCCTTTAGTGTCTGTGTGTTTGATACTTGCTTTCAGGAGGCTTGTACAAATTTCCCCAGACATATTTTACTTTTCTGTCAGTTGCATAAATGAGTGAGATTTTTCTGATAGTTAGCTCTGCTGATCTTCTTCTAAGAAGCAGAATGAAAGAGCTCATGGAGAGTGCTCCAGCTCCCCGTTCCTTAACTGAAGTCACTCTGCTGTACTGCATTATAAAAAGGATATGTTCTTAAGGTATTATAGCAACAACAGGAAGGCGTTATAGAATAGAATTACAAAATGTCTGAGCTAGAAAGAGATTTCTGAAGGTTGCCCAGTCCAACCCCTATGCTTAAGCAAGGGCAGCTAGAGCAGGTTGCCCAGGACTGTGTCCAGTTCAATTTTGAATGTCTCCAGGGTTGGAAACTCAAACATCTCTGTTCCAGTGTTTTAATACCAATCCAGTAAAATTGGGTGTTAGTTTTAAACAGAATTTCTTATATTTCAATTTGTGCCCATTGCCACTTGTCCTGCCACTGGATATTACTGGGATTCTCACTCCCACCTCCAATCAGGTATTTATTATACATATTGATAAAACACCCTGCCTTCCCTGAATCTTCTCTAGGCTAAGTGTACCACCTCTCTCAGCCTCTTCTTGTCTGTCAGATGCCTCAGTCATTATTTTCATGGTCTTTTGCAGGTCTTGCTTCTGTATGTCTATGTCTGCCTGCTACTGAGGAGTCCAGACCTAAACACAGCACTCCAGCTGTGGCTTGCCAGTGCTGAGTAATGCCTGCTGGCAGCCCTCCCTCATGTGGCCCTGGATGCTTTCACCATTCTTAGCTGTGAGAACACATTGCTGGCTTTTGGCCAACTGGTTGTCCACCAGGAGCCCCAGGTCCTTTTCTGACAAGCTGCTTTCCAGCCATTTGGCCTCCGGCTGTATTGGTGCATTGGGCTGTTCTTCCCTAGGGTCAGGATTTGCGTTTCCCCTTGTTGAACTTCATGAAGTTCCTGTCAGCCCATTGCTCCAGCATGTCAAGGTCCCTCTGAATGGCAGCACAATCTGCTGGCTTATCAGCCACTCCTCCTGGTTTTGTATCATCATCACCCTTGCTGAGGGTGCACTCTGTCCTGTCATCCAGGTCATCAGTGAAGATGTTAAACAGTACTGGCCCCAGAATCAACCCCTGGGGTACTCAAGTAGTGTGGATGACAGACTTCTGTTGCTGGCTGGAAGCAGTCATGACTTATTCTCAGACTGTATCTAACTACAGGTTTTGCCACTCAGCAGCTGGGGTTTGGTTTTACAAATTCAGACCACGTGAATATCACTGCAGCCTCTGTTCTGCTTGTAAATGACTTGTAGAGCTTGCAAAGAGAAAAATATCCAGCTACCTGTTAAATAATAAAACTAGGTTGGTCTTTCTGTCATATAGTGAATTAATACCGGTCCTGTTGCTAGTAGGGTTGCCTTTATAATTTGGAGAATATATGTTGTTCTTCTGGTTAGTGTTTTTCCAAATGAAGTTACAGGTTAAAATCCCTGCTGCAGGGGCTAGCTGTCCTATCATGCTGAAATGAATCGTGCTCCCTCAATTTTTGTATTTCATGTGTTTACCTATTAAGTATGAGATTCTGTAAGGTTTTCTTTTATATTAGCTGTGAGCTGTGTTACATAGGTACAGCCGTATTAATCCATTAGGTTCTGCTTGGGGACATCTGCAGTTCTTCCCTTCAGGGATGTGACTGGTGACACTCGACTTCCTTAAAAACAATGCTTGTGTAGCGGCACTTTTTTATTGAGAAAATGGTATTTACAGAGAATATCTACCTACCTATGATTTCTAAAGCAATGACCTGTTCATGGTCTGTGCTTCTGAAGCTTCCCTGCTGCTCTCTTGTCTGGCTGTTTGTCTCCTCTTGCCTTTTCTCAGGAACTGCGAACCACTGTTCCCTGCTTGTTTTCAAAGCCATAGTAGTTTGGGGTTTTTTTGTTTTTGTTTTTTTTTTTTTTAATTTTGTCACTTCTCTAACTTGTCAAAACTGATTCTGTAAACATGCCAGTAGAAGAAAATGTGTCCTTCGAAGCTGGCATTTTTGGTAAATACTTGCCCTTCCTAGATGGGAAGGCAGTGCTTTATCTTCAGATGTGTTTCCTTTGTGTTTCGTGAAATACGTCTTAATTATTCAATCAGTATTCATACAATAAAATCCCAGTTAATAGATCAACATGATGTATATGTGGCTGAACAGAATTGCACTGCTTTTTCAGATTTGGTTACAGTTGACTTGAATCTGAAGATCTTCTTTTATCAATATTAAACTTCAGTCAAGGATCTGTTTAGCAGCTTAAATGTTTATCTGGCTTACTTCAGGCTGTGGAGTTAAAATGAACTTCTGTTCTTGAGTTCCCCTCCTCTTTTTCTCTTTCAGCATGGCGTTAGTCTGTACGTTCAGGATAAAGAAGGCTTATCAGCCCTGGATCTTGTCATGAAAGATAGGCCAATCCATGTGGTGTTCAAGAAAACTGGTAGGAAATAAAATAGCTTAAATTGTATTTTACAGGGAGATATCTTTCAACAATGTATTAACATATGTACCAGTGTAGACGATATTTTCTGTTTCTAATTAGGACCGTGTAAGTTATGAGATACCTGAAGATATGGGGTCACTAACATCGTAAGACAGCAGGTGCAGAATCTTTATGACTTTAACGTCTTTGAATTTGATAGAGTTGTTTACATCACTTCTGCGTCTTTTGTGAAAAGAGAGGGAATATGTTCTTGAATCTTCAAAATATTTTTTGGACAAGGTAGCTTGATATAAGCTAGTTACAGTCACTCTAAATACAATGTCTCCAACTAGGGAATGAATATGTAAGAATAACTCTTGAGCACACAAGTTTTTCTTTGACAGGGGAGTAGTTTTTCTAGCAGCGTTTATTTATTTTTATGCTGTTTTATACTTTTTCTACCCTCTTCCTTTCCCCTTTTCTCCATGTCCCTAAGTTCAGTCTTTTACAGTGAGATTTGTTCTTTTCAGCTTGTTTCCACTCAGTCTAAGTAATTTTGGTTACACAAATCATGAGGTTTGCGTATTTTTAATTTTATCTTGTAAAATATCTTAAAGTTCTTTAGTCTTTTTAGTAGTGGTGCAACATGATCAAATATATATTGATTTCAGTTTTTACTCATCAGAAAATAGTGTTCAGATAGCACTGTAACTGAGAGGTCATTTAAAAAAATATAGTGTTAGTTTTTGGCTCCACCTCTGATTTGAAACTGTTTATGGTTTTCATACATGACAGCATAACACTTTTTTGGGAACGGCTTTTTACTAAATTAAAGCGAAGCAGGTATAACTTAAGGTAGTAGTAGTTGTCTTCTGGAAACATAACAAGTAAATCTGCTGCTGAGGAATGTTTGCATTTTCTGCAACTGGGAGATATATAAAACAGTAATGTTGATCATCTGTAGATTATTGTTAAAATATTTTGTCATAGCACCTTACTTCTCATGAGAGTAAGCATTTTTAAAGTTCAGTTCTAGGTAAAAAAAACCTCTTCAAATTTTAAGTAGAAACAGTAGGAGCTGCTTTTCAAACTCCATATGCACAAGATTGGTAAATTTACAAGCTGCAGAGAGAATTCTTTTCATTGCAGATCCCACAGAGGTCTACACCTGGGGAAACAATATCAATTTTACTTTGGGTCATGGTGGTCAACAGGGTAAACATCATCCTGAATTGGTGGACCTTTTTCCTCGGAATGGCGTGTATATCAAACAGGTATTCTTAATGTATTTACAGAAATGCCTTTCTTGGTGAACTTGGAACGGTGTGTGAGGGGGAACAAGTATTGAAGAGGTTATCAAGTTCTGAAAATTTTCATGGAAAAAAAGGATTTGAGTTGGTGGGGTTTTTGTTGTGTTTGGTGTTTTGTGTCATATTCCACCCCCCTCCTCCCCCCCTTCCTAATTATTTCTCAGCAGGGAGTTTCTGTTGTTCTGGCAAGCAGCTTAAAGTAGTACTGGAGTAGGCCTGCTGTATTGTTCTTGCTGCTTCCCCCTTCTCCCATCCCAATCACCCTCAATGAAATCATGGTTCTCTATTTTGGTGGGGGGAATGTTTGTTTTTTTAAAAAACATAATTTACCTTGAATATATGGCTCATATATAATTAAATAATGTCAGAAACATGTTACTTCTGTAACTGTTCCGAGTTTCTTCTGACTTCTTGTGCAACTCCCATAGTGAACTGAAGTGGGACAATGAATCTGTTTGATACATGTTGAATTAAAATTCTTCTTGTGTTGAAAGCAGCATGTGCTGTTAAGCACGCTTCCTGTAGCAGTAGTTTTATCCCTAATGACTTCTTGTGACTCTGGTTTAAGAATGTTTGAAAGTTTAAAGTACAACTTGAACAAGCATTCAGGACAGACAACCTGTGATGCTGTCTTAACATGTTTCCTTCAGCTCTTCAGAGGCAGTATTGTGGCCCTTAAAACTCAGTCTTTTGAGCTTCTGTTAGCTTGTAGGGCCATGCTTGAACTCATTTTAATAAATACAAACTGTAGGTCTCTTCAAGTAGGTTAAAGCAGTATATAATAAATTTCAAACAAATATTTTATCTTCCTTTTGACTTGATTTGACAGTCCTGTGCTTTAATAGTAGTATCTTACTCGTATTTTCATGAACAGGTCTTTATTAAAGCTGAACTTCTTCACAAGGTAGTTTTGGCGTGTGTTTTAAGATTACCCAAGAAAAGGAATTTGTCCTATCCTGTCCCTGTCTCCTCCACACCCCTTTTTTCTCTTTTTTCTTTCAGGTGGTACTCTGCAAATTCCACTCTGTGTTCCTTTCCCACAAAGGTCAAGTTTATACATGTGGACATGGACAAGGAGGACGCTTGGGTCATGGTGATGAACAAACATGCCTGGTGTGTTATCTTACGCTATCTTGTGTAGTCCAGCATCATGTTTCTTTTATTTCAAACAGCAAGTCTAAAAAGTGAATTAGAGTTTCTGTGACCATACTTTCAAAATGAGTTTGAAAATTTCAAACCAACCCACTTGCTCCCCACCAAATAACAGGAAAAAAAACTCTCCAGTACTACTAGTGAGGTGACAGAGAGTAGAATAATGTGCATTTAAATATATTTGAAATTAAGACAGCTAGATACTGTGACCAAACTTCTGTGTTATGGCCAAGTTGTTTTAAAGGCTATCTGATGCCAGATAAGTGGAAGCAAATGGTTTTTGACTGGACAAACCAAATGGGTTTGTGATTCCGTCTGATGTGTGTCAAGGCTGGCACAAAGGAAGCAGCAGTATTGTGGAGCTGTAGTGGCATGAGAAGTGATGGTAGGGTTGCTTCTTAATAGACTTGCACAGCTATGAAATGAAAACTCACCTATCATTTTCATTTGAATAATACATTGTTGCAATATGCAAAACCGAAATTTGAGAAGACCAAGATACGATGACAATACAATTCTTAGACTTCAGTATCTTATCCTGTGCACACTACCAGGTAGCGTGCATTTAGTTTGCAGCACAATAATTTAAAAAAAAATTTCTAATATCAAGTATCTGGTAGAACTTGGTAGTATGTTGCTGAATGTTATTGAGAAGACTGGAGCTCAGTTTTTAATGCTTCTTTTAAAAAAATGCAATTCTGTGAAATTAGAATTTTTTGCAAATTGCTTTTTTGAAAGGGGATGTTACCTGGTTGAATAAAGGAGAACTCATATCAGAATCCATGAAGAGTCAAAGATACAGAACTGCTTCCTTATTCTGTAGAATTTTATTAGGATTATCTAGAAAAAATCTTTAGAGAAATCTTTATTGCTCCTGGTAATGTAAAAAGAAAAACAAAAGAGGTAATAGTTTATATTGTCCAGCTATCCTAAAGATATAATTTCCAACTTAATTTCAGAGCAGAGAGTTTAAAAATCATCTCCCCTGATAACAGAGGATGCATTTCAAATGACAGTAGTTCGTCTTACTGCATGAGATGTGGTAATTATGTTAATGAGTGTACTGTACATTCAGATGCATTATAAACTGTAGTTCAGTTCAGTATTTGGTCATATTTCTGTTGGTGTAACTTTAGTTTCATAGATAGCCACTGGTTAATATCAAACAAGTATAGTTTTCTATCTTTTTTTTTTTCTTGTTCAGGTTCCAAGACTCGTGGAAGGCTTAGCTGGCCATCAGTGCTCCCAGATAGCTGCAGCTAAGGATCATACTGTTGTTTTAACAGAAGATGGATATGTTTACACATTTGGTTTAAATACTTTCCATCAGTTGGGTATTCTTCCTCCTCCTACTAACTGCAATGTTCCTAGACAGGTAAAAATAACATTAGTCAAAGCTTAGTTGTTTGCATTTTTTTAGCAGAAAGTAAAATGTGAAAATTGTGGAAATAACATTTAAACTTTCTCAGGACAATAAAGTTGAATGTGAGTTCAGATAAAATCTTGATTCTATGTTGTCATACATCTCAATTTTAAATACTTAACTGTGTCCTGATAAACGTCTTAGTTTGTAACCTGAACTGTACTAAAGTTTTTACTGCTAAGTAGGTTATACAGTACAATTGCCAAAACTTGTTCTGTAGCTGAAATGATGATAGGTATGTATCATCCATGTATGAGATTCATGCTCTTTACTCCTTTTGAATCACTGGATGGTGGATCTCAGGGTTTGATGGTTGTGTCCTTTGCTGGAAGCACTGTTGAGTCTGGAGTCATAATGCTGTCGGAAGAATAGCGCAGGGAAGAGAGGATATGGGCATCAACAACTTGACTATGTTTCTTTACTCAATCTCTAACTCTTTCTAATTTTTTTTTTTTTTAAGTAAATAAGAGTTACATTACCTTTTATTGAAAGGAAGCTTCATCTAGAGTAGAACAACGTTGTGCTACCAGTGTTAAAAAAGTAGGAAAGAACAATTGGCCGAAGTGCAACAGGATAGTGTTCTGGGGTACAATGGGATGCTCTTCAAGAGCATAATGAGAGCTATGTATTTGCTTTGATCTTCAAAATCAAGTTAAATTTGAAGTGTGGAATTAGTAATATAGTGTTCTGCAGTGTATTTAGGGCATTAGGACTTACAAGCTGAAACTTCTTAGCTGACACTTTTGCGGCACCTGAATCTTCTTTGGCTGTCTTATGCATGTCCTGTGCAGTCATCTTCAGCATCTTACATGTGAAGACAGCCTAAGGAGATTTGATTCTAGTTCTGATTAGATAATGCAAAAAGCTTACTTCTTTTTGTCACTCGTGCAATAGTGCCCCACTTGACAAACTTCTGAAATAATCCTGATTTACTAGACTGTATGTGGATTGATACCAATACTTCATTCTTAATGACTTTGAGTTAAATGTTGTCAGAAGTTTGTACATGTGAAATTCACCTGTTGCTGCTTAATATTAAGATGTACTTTGGATTTGTGCTTAGGTTCAGGCAAAAAACCTGAAAGGTAGAATGGTGATTGGAGTGGCTGCAGGCAGATTCCATACAGTGCTATGGACTAAGGAAGCAGTGTATACCATGGGGCTGAATGGCGGCCAACTAGGTAAGGTAGAAGTGTTCTAAAAGTAAAACCCAGCCGTTAAAAAGATGTTAACTTATACTAAAGCTGTCATCTGCTTCTTACAACAGAAGCCTGGTTAACGCTTTCTCTTTTATCTTTTTTTTTTTAAACCAGTCTGATGACATCATACTTCGTTTGAAGATATTTTTCATTATTGCCAGTCACTTTCACATTTTGAGATGCTGGGAGCTAGTCAGACTTAGCTCTGTTATTTGAATTCTTTATAATTCTTTTGCCTTCCATGTGTGGTCCTGATGCTGAAGACTTTCAGGAAACAGAATGTTGCTGTTTGTGTTGTAAATTACCACAAGGCATACTTGCCTCCCTCCAGCAGCCTGGCTGGTACTGCCTGTAATAAATTATAAACTAGCATTCAGCTCTCCTGCCCATGTCCTTCTTTGACCACATGCTGTAAACATGCTACTGATAACTTTTTCCGTACTAACTTTTTAAGCTGAAATGCTTGCCAATCTCTAGAATTTTTTTCAACAATGCCGTTACCAGAATCTTCACTTAACTCAGTATTATTCTGAAGTCAAGGAAGAACCTAATAAAAATATACTACCAACTACTGAACTTCTTGATTTGTTGTATGAATGGGATATTTTAATTGCTTTTGTCTTTTTTTAATAAACAGGTATTGCAATATTGGTTTGGATTTGCATTTCTGCAGTTCTGTATCTGTGTGCAAACAAAACTGTTAGCTAGCTCTGGTACTTACAGTTAATCTGCTTCAGTTCTGGCATCAGGTTCAGACACTTTTTTGTGTTCCTATTTAAGATTGAAAAGGTATGTGGAAAAAAAACTTGTCTTTGTCAGAGAAGTATCTTACTCATGAGTATTTTTTGTTTGTTTGTTTGTTTTTTTATATGCACCATCATATAAGTTTCTTTGTGGTTGCTTGTGTTGAGATTATTTTGGTATGCATATGGCGCAGTGCAGTACCATATGGAGACAGTAATTGGATTGTAAGTAGTTCAGTTGTGTCAGCTGGGCACTGTGATAGACCTGTGGTAATAAACCTTGTCTCTTTCAAATGTTTGGGCATTGCACTACACTGTCCTATGTCAGGGTTGCTTCCAGCTTTACAGGTAGCTCTGCTGCTTGTTCCTGGGTATTTGTACCCTGATCCACTCTGTGGTGCCAGACATAAGTGCACACAGAGCAGGGTTACTTTATATATGAGATTCTTTGTGTTAGGTTTCTTAATGCAGGAGAGCCGTAATGGCCTGATTTTTTTTTTTTTTTTTTTTTTTTTTAGTATGTTTTCAGAGACATTATGTTACAGCTCCAGCCTTGTCTGTTATTTCACGTAACTGCCTGCTTTTATGCTTAGGTGCACTTATAGTAATTTGTATGACAAGCTTTTTTGGTATCTTCTAATGGCTGAAATAATCTATAGTTTATGCCAGTGTGATAGTATTTCTGGGGTCTTGAGCTGTAATATGAGTCAAATAATTGTTCTTTCTTTGGAATCAAAGGCAGTACCACTGTGGAGTCTAACCACATTAAATAGCTTTCCCTGTAGAATATGCCTTACTTATTTTTTTGTGTATCAAAGCTTGAATGTTTTCTGGTGTTTCTGGTGGGTCTTTTATCTGTTTGATTGTTTTGAAGATGAATTATGTAACTACCTAAAAAATCTTTCAGAATTTAAAGGTTCTTCAAAGTAGTGTAGCAAAGTGTCCTTTAAATGCACAATGTATGGAATGGCAAACTATGTTTTTGGCTTGTGTTGTATTTTCTAGGTTATCTGCTGGATCCCAATGGAGAAAAATGTGTAACTGCACCCCGCCAAGTTTCAGCTCTACACCATAAAGATATCTCTGTGTCCTTGGTCTCTGCAAGCGATGGTGCTACAGTATGCGTTACTGAAAGAGGAGATATTTATTTACTTGCAGACTATCAGTGCAAAAAGATGGCTTCAAAGTATGTGTTACTTTCCTAATTTGTCATGAAGAGCAATAGATGAAGATGTAGTCTTATACTTGCAAGCTATTTTAAAGACTTTTGTGCATAAGGTAGAGAGAGATAATACCGTGCTCCCCTGAGTTTTCTTCAACTGCAGTTCTTTCATATGAACTGTGGCTATCTTTTTTGTTTCTTTCTTTGATTTTGTTGTTAGATGAAGCTAAGGTGCCACTCACCATTTACCAAAGATATTTTGGAAAAACAGAGTAAGAGTAAATAGTTTGTGCCATAGATTTTAAAAATATTGAAACTGGTATTTTTTGTTCATCTGCTAGCCTGAATTTGTATAAATGCGTCTTGGTAGAGACGTTGAAGATGTGCTATTCTATTTAGTTATGTTGTTATGATTTTGAATCAGTAATTTGGGGTCTGAATTTCGTAATTAATGTGTGGATATAGTATGTTATAAAGGGTAATTTAGATGTCAGGGTGGTGGACCTTTTGACATCATCTGGTCCATATGCTAAAACCTGGGTGTAAAATCTGTTGAAGAAACTGGATCCATGACTCATAAATTTATGAAATTATTTGATCCCATTCTCTCTTAGTTGGTTTGCAGTAACAGATTACAAGAGGTAATTAGCATTTTTGCCCAGCTAACTTCCAGTTAGCTTTTCAGCTTCCCTTCAAATTCTAGCAGTATTTATTGACATGTTGTAGCCTAATGATTATTTTATACTTCATTTTCTACATGGCAGTAAGTGAAGGTGCTGGCATTTGGACTAACTTAATAGTATTACGCTCTTATACTAAGAAACTGAAAAGAGATAACTTCTGTGGTTTTGATCAGGTAAAAAACAAAACCCACCAAAAACCTGAGAAACAGCTTATTGGGATAAGATAGGCCTTTTCATACAAATTAAGTTTATACCACCATAATTTTTGTAATGCTCAACATCAAAGTTAAATCATATACTGGTTTTCACTTATGGCATTTTGTGAAGAACCTGTGAATATGATGTGACTTACTTAAAAGCAAAGCAAAAATTACAATCTACTAATAGTATTTTATTAGCAATTGTGTTAGTAATACCAGTGGGGAGAAACTAAACTTAAGTAATTTCTCAGTGTCACTACCTCAACTATGTTTTTTACTACTTCTCTAAATGAAACAATATACAATGAAGAAATACTAATGTAACCTTTTGTGTTCTTTCAGACAGCTGAACCTTAAAAAAGTTCTTGTTAATGGGGGATATTTGGAATATAAGATAGATACCCAGCATCTTAAAGAAAATGGTGGTCAGAAGATTTGCATTCTCGCGCTGGATGAAGCTGGAAGAGTAAGTTGTGTCCCTGGAAATCATGATTATATAGCAAGCTGCATACTGATTGACCAAACTTTAAACATAAGATGTTGGCAGGACAAAATCATGCATAGAAAATACCTGATTTGTAGAGCTGCTAGTGACTTTTTTTTTAAAGGGCTATGGGAAGACTACCAAAGTAACGTACGGTAGTTTATTTTTAAATCTATGAACATCTAATGGCTTTTCAGTGAAGGTGTAAACTTCTTTACTTTTACATACACAAGTGGTTATGTAGTGTATGTGGTATTGTGTCCTGTCCCCTCCCCCCTGCCTCTCACTCCACCTACCCAGTCGCTTCTGTGCCCTCCAGAAATAGTCTTAGAAGTAGTCTCTGGACTTGAAGTTTTACAGCCTTTGCTGAAAAGCAGCTGTTGTGTAGATGAGATGTCCCTTTTATTGTTGAAAAGCTGCAGCCCAATCTGGTGAATAGCTTAGCATTTATAGTTAAGTGTAGACACTGTGTTGACTTAGAACTGGAATGCTATGGCGGATTTATTGTTTATTTCCCTCATTCTTTCATGGGTAACGGTTTATAGGACCCTTCAAAACGCCAGCCTTTACTATATCTGCTCACTGGGCGATCTAAACCTTCACTGCCATCTAGCGGTGCTTACAAAACCTTTTTTTTAAACTGAAATGCTGCCACCTTAAAGAATTTTAAAAGCAGCTTGTGTATCAAAATAGGGAACAGTGTGGGTATTTCCTTTTCTTTTCTTGCATTTGAGTAAATTATGTTTTGGGATGATCTTCTCTGTTTATTAGGTCATTAGTTGTCTCATTACAAATTTCCAGTTCAGTATTTTTTCATGTAAGGTTTAGCCTCAAGCCTCTGTAGTATTGGTAGGGCCCCTTCAACATCTTTTGGACGGCTGCTTTAGCAGTAAGAAACTACTTTGTCTTCCTGCTTCAGTGGAACTATGTCAACCTCCATTGCATATCTTTCCATGATGAATACTGGCAAATGCTGGGATCTTTAGTGCTTTTAGGCATTATGAATTCTTGAGTAAGGAGAGAGATGGGATCTTAGTACTTCTGTTTCCTGAATCAGCACTTCCTGGTCTGTCTCTTTAAGAGAGTACTGTTTAGCCTACAAAAGAGAAGGCTTGAGGGGGATCTTATCAATGTATGTACATACTTGAAGGGAAGACAGAAAGAAGATGGAGCCAGGCTCTTTTCAGTGGTGCCCAGTGACAGAACCAGAGGGGACAAACTGAAATGAAGGAGGCTCTGTCTGAATATCAGAAGGCACTTTTTCATAGTGCGGATGGTTAAGCACTGGCACAGGTTGCCCATGGAGGTTGTGGAGTCTCCATTTTTGGAGATACTCAAAAGCTGTCTGGACATGGTCCTGGGCAACTGGCCCTGGGTTGCCCTGTTTGAGCAGGGGGTTGGACTAGAAAACCTCCAGAGGTCCCTTCTATCCTCAACCATTCTGTGATTCTTTAGGGCTCAAGAAAAGGGAAAGGAAATAGGTTATTCAAATTATTTTGTCCCCGCTGTTCCGTAGGTGTTAACAGACCCGTGCAGGTCCTTTAATGCGAAAAGTCAAAAGCCCGACTTGAGCACCACTAATGCCACATGCGAGCTTAACCTTGCATGGGGTTGTTGCTTCATGCTTGCTTCTTTCACCCATCTACAGTATACCATGCTGGAGCCCTGCTGTGCATACAGTTCCTCACATTTCTGTTGACTGTTTAGAAGTTTGTGTTTGATCATGATCTCCATTCCAAAACCTTGACTAGTACAGAGAAACTTGAGATTTTTGTCAAACAATTAACAGGAAATGGTTTAAATTTTTGGTTGATAGCTTTGAATTTTGCCTGACTGATAAGCAAATCAGTTGGACAAATCTGTAAATTAAGAAATAGATGAAATTTATTTCTTGACTTGATGACACCTTTTGCTGTCCTTGTTGAAATGTCTGTAAAAGCTGTTTTATAGATGACTGCTGTGAAGATGTTTGAATTTTCAGAGAGCTTTTCAAATGCCCTTCATGAGCAAATGGATCTTGATATCATAATAGACTTTTCCCTGTTTTGCTTGTGGGTTCTTTGTAACAGAAGCTCGTAACACTTTGGGATATAATTTTAAAGAATGTCTTTTTCCTTTTATATGCAACTTTGAGATGGCATGTTCTTGTGTTTAAAACTGTGGTGTGTAACATGTAACTGCTTTTACATGATATGAGGATTTCCCCTTCTCTGAAAAAATTATATTATAGGTGTTTTGCTGGAAGCCATCTAACAACTCCATGAAGCAGTGTCGTTGGGTGTATGGCCGGCAAGTCTTCATGTCCGATGTTGCTTTAAATAGGCACGAAATAATGTTTGTCACGCAGGATGGTGAAGCCTTTACAGGGAAGTGGCTGGAAGAAGGGAAAAAAATCTCAGAAAAGAAAGGTTAGCTGTGATTTCTTAATGGTTTTTATATACTTTGAATCAATATAAAAGTTTAATCAAATCTTTACAGTCTCTAAGAGTATTATATGGTGAGTTCATTCTTTTCTCTGTGGCTGACAGTTGGTACCATTGACCATGACTGTTCTCTTTCCTCACTAATACTAAGATTTACTTACTTTGCAGCCTTTGGTTAATCTTAAGGTGGAGATTTCCAGGAAGAAGAGTACTTCTGAAGAGTAATAGTAGCAAAGGGTCCTGTGTAATCATCTTGTCACGTATTAGGTGACCAGTCCTAAGAAACTGGCATTGAACAAAAGAAGGAGCATGTACTTGCTTGCACTGCTAAGTCTGTGAAACCTTAGCATGTTTCCCAGACCCTTATCTGGGCATAATTCTTGCCTTATTAACTTGGCTCATATTGCTAAGAGTAGGTCTTGATGGATTGTTTTTGTGCGAGGAAGATACCTGCCTACTATAGGACAAGTTTTTAGTTGAAACTGTCAGCCCTGTTTGTGTAGGAATCTTAAAAACCCTATGGATAGAAATGGGTTTACTTCCAACCTGGGATGTATTTGAACTTTATAGCTTTATGTTGCAGTTCTACTTCCTTTGATAATGAGATTCCATCTTTTGTTTTATCAGTCTGTTTTTTCATTCTTTCACAGCAAAAATCTTTCCTCTGTTGCTCAATCCAGAGTTGCATACTAGTTTTACTCTGTTGCTACCTTCTTTTATTCTACACATCATGTAGTAGTTCCCTCATTACAGAGGTACCAAATGCATTTCCTTTCCGCTTTGTTTGTCCTGTAGGCACTCTCTTCTTTGTGCTTACTGCTGTTCTTTTTGTAGTTTTAGCATCTTCAAGGAAACTTCAGAATTCAGATCTGTTGACTTGTTAAATGTCTATCACAGAGTCACTAAGGTTGGAAAGGACCTTCAAGATCATCAAGTCCAACCAAGTTGATGTTTATCAGTGATTTATAATGAAGGAGAGCTTCTGTTTTTCTGAAAGGTTTTAATGAATGTGCCGAATGGTGTGCATGTATTTGGTTATCTAATTCTTGAAAATAATCCAGTATTCAGAAACTATAACATTTTTTCAATAGTATTTTGTTAGTTTGGGTATAATTTAAGCATGTAATATGAAGTCTGAAGGCAATTGTGTTATATCTGCTGTAGTTGATATGAGAGGAGAAGAAAACAATCTTGCACTGCTGTACACAGATGGACAGCTCGTTTCATTCCACAAGAGGTTGCACTGAATGTTAGATGAAGTGTTTTCCCTTACGTGAAGGATTGGCAAAACACTTCCAAAAGAAGCTATGGACAAAAAATCACCTATATGTAATGTAAAGTCTTGTTCTTAAAACGTCTTCTTCCCCGCATTTCAGTTAAGCAAGATGAAATTTAGTCTTATTCAGTGACTCACAGCAATGGACTTACAGAAGTCATAAATCTTGCCTTTTTGTTACATGAGTTGCATTTTAATTAGCCAGAACTTTCGGTGGGTTTTTTTCCAATCTTTTTCTTTTTTTAGCAGAAGTAGTATCGAGCCTTCAGAATTCTTCATGTGATGTGTCTTATGAACATGATACAAACAGTGTGTATGAAAGAATTCGACTTCAGAAGCTTACTTTTGTCCACCGAGCTGTTAGTATTGCCACCGATCCTAATGGTTGCAATTTTGCTGTTTTACAGTCAGACCCTAAAACAAGGTATAGTTAAAATATCAACAACTGTAATTTTTCTCTTTTTTGTGTGTGTGTGATTGCAATTAAATGATTCTTGTTTTCAAAATCATTTTTTGTCTCATACAGAAGTCACAGTAAATGTGGTTATCCATATTGCTGGAGAATAGCACTAGTTAGTAAACAACTATGTTGAAGTTAACCAAAGACCTCAGCATATTTATTTTTGTAATTAGTGTAGATAGTGTTGATGTTTTATCTAAAATGCTTAAGGCAAGTGTTTGCAATGTATTTCTTAACACACTCTGAGCTCTAAATACTGTAGAAGTTCATGCCTTCAGTAATCACCAATCAAGCTTTTAAATAAAAGTGAAAAGTGCGTCTTTATTGTTTTGGAAAAAATGTTTAAGGTGAAGTTAATAAATAAAATACTGAACCATGCTCCTTGCACTCTTATAGTAATTTCCAATATATCTGATAAATAAGTAAATACTAGGTTTTTTTTCTTATTGCTTTGGATTCTTTGAAGTACAGCAAACATTTCTGTGTTTTCCTGTTGGACCAATGAGATAAAGATAAGATAGTTCTGATAATATGTATTTACTGGCTACATTATAAATGCAAAATACTATGTTTGATATTCTGAAGCTAGACAGATCTTACATATGTGGTTTAATTGCCTATATGCCATATCGTTAGTACTTTTTGTAAAGAACAGGACAAGAAATGTTGAGTAATCCAGCAATGTATGAAAAAACCCAAACAAACCAGATGGAAACAACCCCACCCTCTTCATTAAACATTCTATATAAAATTTTATGGAGCTTGTAAATACTTCCTTTTTTTTTTTTTTAATGGATTTAATTTTGTTCTAGTCTCTATGAAATTCCAAGTGTGTCATTATCAAGTTTTGGAGAGGATTTTGGCAAACTGTTAGATGAAACAGATGAAATGGACAGCATCCATGATGTGACTTTTCAGATTGGCACAAGAACTTACCCCGTGCACAAATACATCTTGGCTGTACGCTCTGATTTCTTCAAGAAGCTGTTTGTTTCCAGTGACAACCAGCTAGACACTCCAGACATCTACCGTAAAGATGAAGATGCTGTTGGATGTGATCTTTATGTAATAGAGAAAGTTCATCCAGATCTGTTTGCATACCTTCTGCAGTTCATATACACTGATACTTGTGATCTTCTGACTCATGGCTATAAACCAAAAATCCTGCATAAAGGAAAATCGGAAGAATATCAAGATACTTTAATTTCTAACCTGAGCAAAATGAGTTTTGATGAAAATGTTAATGGAAAGTCTGCATTTGAGATTTACAGAAATAATCAAGTGCAAGTTATAAATGAAAAACAGAAGAACAAATCTAAAAAAGCCAAAGTTGTTGGTGAAGAAGCTAACCTCATAAAAATGTTGCAAAGTGCTGCAAAGAAGTTTGGACTCAGCAATTTAAGTGGAAGGTAGGTGAAAAGAAATGCATTTATGTTCTGGCAAGCTTTTCATGGAGTGTTTTTATGTAAGGTGATCTAACTTTGGTTGTTACTGAAGTAGAAGGCTAATTGGCGTTGATAAGTTTGTCTTTTTTTGCTTGTGTTATTGTTTGTAACTATAAAAGTTTACAGCACACACCGTGTCATTTCTTTAAAGCAATATCAGTTTGTTCTGATGCTCTTTGCTGAGAGAAAACATGTATGACCTTTTTGAATAATGTCAGAAACAGACTTTCGTGGAATGATTATGTACTTAAAGCATCATTTTTCAACAGGCTTCTATATGAATGGAAATTTGTTGTTGGCCCTTACTGTGTCCTAGAACCTCTTGGACATTTGTATTTAAAACATTTTTGTCCAGTGTATCTTCTAAGGCATGAGCTCTTTCATACTTCACATCTGATGCAAATCATCCGACTTTGCAGAATGACTGTCATAAAACAGCAATAGTTGTTTTGTTAGAGACAGCTGATCTAATTGAGTTTTGGATTGATGAATTTCTGTGCTGTGGTCCATAGTCTACCAGTTTTTCCATAGGTAATGAACATATTTAGTGTAAAACACCACAAAGCAAAGTTAAATTAGTGTTTAACATGCATTTTTAATGTTACGTGATGAAAGTAGTAGAATTGAGACCAAATGTCCCTGTAGAACTGTATTATTCAAGG